AAGAGATCTACACCCATATCGCTACAAAACCATCAAGAAGCCTCACCTCTCATGAATTCATATGATCATTGAGATGCACAAAATTTAATAAGAAAATATATTTGAGTGCCAGATTATCACGTGCTTCACTCTGGAATTATTCAAGTCATTCTTTTTTTAAATGTTTAATAACTTGAACTATATTTTTTGTTTTATAATCTCTCAATATACTTATTTCGTATAGCAATCTGATACTCTTCTTTATCCATCTCAGTTCCATACTCAAACATATATTAACAAAACATTTATATCAATTAAAAGTTGTTAATGATAGAGGACTACAACATGGTTTATTGACGAATGATTTTTTATATTATATTAAACAAGTTGAAAGTTTACGTGGGCTTAAAATATTAGAATTATGTGTTGATGAGACCTGGATGAAGAAAGTTAATATTATACTTTGTTTTTACTATCAATATATATAATTGAATTATATCAACCGGTCAATGAACTAGAGATAGTAATTTTTCAATAATTTGAAAAATGATTGAAATTGACAATAAATATTAAAAGATACATCAATCGATTGACAAATCTCGAATTTATTTTACTTTGTCATGATTTTGTGTTAGTTTTCTAAATATTGATTCATTGATTAAAGCAATGAAATATAACTGTTACTTTTTACTATACAATTTTACCTATTCAATAGGAAAATTCATTCATTTCTACAGTTTTCTCAGTATAGTATGAAAGAAAAATTGCATGATAAATAGAAACAAATATGTTTTATGTGATCTGGAAATGTTTAGACTAGGACTCTTATATTCATCCGTAGTCACATTGCAAAGAAAACAAAAAAGAAAGATAAGGTAACATTATTTTCATAAGACAATGTATCCAACAACAACAATTTTAAATGTAATATCGAGCAGTACCACCAGTGAGTTAGGTTGCTTTTTCATTCACTTCGTTGCGTTATTGGCCGCTTATGAAAATTCGAGCGAGTAAAGGAATGCGAAGACTACATTCAACATGAGAATTAGGACCGAATCATATTCATTGTTGAAGTCAATATGGCATTCGAATCTTTTCGTCACATTCACCATTTATTTCTTATCACATCTCTCTATGTTGTTGGATCTATAGAAAAGAAGAGTGATAAATGAACCTTCAAATTCGACAAGCAAAAAAAGATTTTTCTGAGAAAAAAAAAGGGTGTTCTTCCGTTACATTTTACTTAGAACTTCGATGAAATATGCTTAAAAGAAAAGAAAGTCTCAATGACTATTAATTCAAAAACAAAAAAATGACGAGCGTTTATAAATAAACTATTCTAGTATTTTATTTCAAAAGAAAATTAAGAGTTGCTTCATTTCTTTTTCTCTTCTTTCAATTTAAATTAGTCTCAGAGATAATCGACGAATAAATAGAATGCAAAATATTTTCGTAATATCCACGCATTTCACAGTGGACACAATACTTTTCTTATTCAATTGTTTTTATTTTATGATTAGTTTTCTTCTATTGTTTGTATGATTTAAATGAAATAATTCAAATATTCTTTTATTTATTAATAAATAAATCGAAAATTTTAATCATATAAAAAAGACAGAAAAATTTAACGCCAAGTTCGAACATCAGATGAATGTAGACGTTTACTATTTGTTTTCATTTTACTTTGACTACCACTATATTTTTTTTTCAAATAATTGTGAATGTTTTCAAGCTAAAAGAAAATAAGAAAAGCATGTTTTGAAAATAAACATGTGTTTATTTAGTATTTCTTTCTCTATAGATTAATTTTTAAAAAGTTCTCTTTATGAATACCTCATCAACAATTTCTCCATAATCCGGTCGTTCAACTCGTTTCGCTTTTAAACATCGATACATTCTAGAATAATACATTATATATATATATATATAAGAATTTCATATTAAAATCATACAATTCTTGAAGAAGTAGTGGAGCATCCGGATCCATTTCTCCAAGATCTATACGTAAATCTCTTATATCTCCTTCGACATAATTTTCAAGTTTAGCAATTAATTGTGCAGTACTCGCTGCAGCAAATGGTATTTTTCGAGGATGAGTTAAAAATTCAATAAGAATACAACCATAAGACCATACATCAGAATAATTATCAGGTTTAGAAAAACGTAATCGTTGTGGTGCCATCCAACGAAATGCACCTACAGCTTCATCAATTTGACCAGCTAATGATGCATTAATATATCTATAAAAATTTTCATTTTCATTTTCATTTTATGTGATTTAATTTTTAATCAATATTTACTTCTCAATCATTTGTACCGTACCAAAATCAGATATTTTTGCTACTGTATGATCACGTATGAGTAATACATTATTTGATGATAAATCTCCATGTAGTAATGATGCATCATGTAATAGTTTTACACCACGAGATATATCAGTTAATAATCTAACACCTTGAAACCAATTCATTGGTATATACTTATTATTACTATCATGTAACCAACTATTTAATGTTCCACCAGCCATATATTCCATAACTAAATAATATTCATGAAAAATAAAGAAAACAAAGAATTTTTATTCATTATTTACTAAACATTGCTGGATCTTTACAATAAGCAATAGCTTCAACAACATTTCGATGATGAAAATTTCGTAATTTTTTAAATTCAATTAATGCTTCTTCGAAATCTTCTTGACGTAAAGGAATTTTAACTGCTACTATTCGACCTCGAAAAGTACCTAATAATAATAATAATAAGTAAAAGAAATATTTCTAATTTTAAATTTTTATAATTTAACCTTCAACAACTTTTCCAAAACCACCTTCTCCAAGTTTTCGACCTTGAATAACTTCCTATTACATGGTATTCATTAATGTTTAAGTTATAAATCAATATTATACATACTGATCCTTTGATAACGGGAATTTCTTCTGCTTCAAAAGGTTTTTTTATTTTATGCTTATTTAAATTTTTAATATTTGTTTTTGATGGTTTTTTTGATCGTTTTAGATTAACTTTCGATAGCTTTTTAACAACTTTTTTATGAAGTTTTTTTGGTTTATTTTTATTTCCAGTTGATTTTAAAGTTGTTTTGGATTTTTTTTTATTTGGTTTTGATTTTTTTAAATTTATTTTACTTTTCGAATTTTTTGAAACTAATTTTTTCTTAATACTACGTTTTTTTATCTTATATTTTGCTTTTTTGATACCAACTTTTCTTATACCGCGACCAACTGATTTTTTTTTAATATTCTTCTTCTTGTTTTCACCCGTAGATGATGCGCGTATTTTAGGTGATTTGCTAGTTGGTTTATGTTTTCTTTGAGCCATATTAAATGATGAATTTATTTGTTATTTAGAAGTAAATAATGAATTGGATTGAAGAAAATTCGGGCGCTCAAAAACAAAAATAAAAAGGACAAATATAATTTATTAAAATGATATTCTACTTGACGACAATATAAAATTGAGAAGGTTTTAATTATTTTGAAATTATTTAGTAGATGTATAAATTTGACATATGATGACTTCAAAGAATGGTTGAATTTCTTATTCATTTTGAATTTAAACTGTTATATGTATATATAATCTTCGTTATTTTGAATCTTTCATGCTAAGAGATTATTAAAATTGATTTGATTAATTTCATCGATTAGGATCTTGAATTATTACTAATCATAGTAATCAATGATTGATATAAGTTATCTAATGATATTTCTTCATATTTCTACGTACAAGATAGATTAAATTTAAAAAAATCACATATTAACGAATGAAGATTATTCTGCAGCAACTTTATTAATTTATTCTTTTCATTTAATTATTATTTAAATGATAAATAGAACGGCTATAATCACAATAACTTCATACAAGTCAATGTTTCATAGAACTTACTGGGATTATAAAGAGTATATTTTCTTGTTATCAATGAGGAAAACAATATATTTGTTATTATACCTTTTCTTTTTACAACACCAATAAAATATTTATATCGTTCTTTAATTTCTCAATAATGTATTGAATCAATATACCAAACTTCTCTCATAAATCTAATTAAATTAATGACAACATCCAATTCTAAATACTTATTGACAAAAGTATTGCTTCATTATTTTAAAATAATGATCTTTCTACTTTTCATTCCCATCATTAGATACAAATTCTGTTTACTTCAATTCGAGAATGTTTGTATTATCATTGATACTATAATAAATGTGCCAACAGTGGCAAATTAGCATAATTTATATTTCTATGAGCTTTATTCAACATATGAATTTTGATTCTTTAAAAAGAACAAAATAATTCTAAAACAATGATTCTATTCTCTATGTGTATTAATTATAAATGAAATATCAAGTTATCAATCTTTATTTCATTGTTAAAGAATAGATTATACATCAATGATTTCCTATTATTTTTATTTTTCGACTTTAACATCACCAAAGACACACTCGCGAACAGAAAAAAAAAAACTCCATAAGAACGTATTATTATTATTTTTTTCTTCTAATTCACACACAAACATCTTTATTATTATGTCTGCATTTCGAACAGTGTATGACAAGAAAAAAAAAATCCCACACAATTAAACATATCACTAGTAAACGTTAACTAGAGAGTATTAATAATAAAGTAAGAAAAGGAAAAAAAAAGAAAAAGAACGTCAAAAGAAAACGAGAAATATGAATTTAACTTCTGTACATCAATCCCCCCTCATCTCTTATTTTCATTTTGTTAATAAACATGTTGCTAATGCTACAGCTTGTATAAAAACAAAAGGAAAGAAACAAACAGCAACAGCACAAAAAAAAAATAATAATGTATAACAAAAAGAAAAAAAAAAGAGATGATTGGACCATCTCTCATGAATATTAGGAAAATACAGAATTAAGAAAGAAAGAAAAAAAAAAAAAAAAGGAACGATACGTCACAACAATATGAATGCGAGCGCATACTGTAAGGAATCGTAGAAAAAATTGACTAGAGATGAGCAAGGAAGACTGATCGATTTTTTTTCATGGATACATTATATCTTCAATTTTCTTTAATAATTCTTTTGTATATTCAATCGCTTGTTCAGCTTGAGCTAAAATAAAAAAGAAAAACAATTATATTAATGACTTATTTTCTAGCAAAAACGTAGTTTTTCATAGAAATATTAATTTCTAATACTAAACCAAAAAACTTCATCGACAAAAAAACTAAAATTCTTGACAGAACATTTGTCATGCAAAATGCATAGGGATTTCTCATCGTAAAATTTTGTTGCAAAATTTTTATTTGAAAAATTAATAAAATGTTCTTATTTTTCTCTTACAATGGAGCTGTTTGTGTCGTAAGTTGAAAAGACCAGATATTTTTGCATCAAAAGAAAGCTCTCACCGCCAAACTAACAAGGCTAAAATATTAGCTGCTGTTGGCTTGCCTAGAGGGGGATATTGAGATTTTAAATTTAGGTACAAAAATGAATCAGGAAATGTTTTCTCCACTATTATCAGGACAAAACATAGTGTTGTTCGAGGCGATTATGGGGTTTGTAGGGTCCCTCTTTCATATGGCCCGAACAACACTATGTTCTGTCCTTATAATAGCGGATTTAATTTTCCTAGTGGTTGATAAGAAAAGCTGTTTCCATGAGCTACAGGAAAAATTTACCCTACTATTATAAGGACAGAACATAGTGTTGTTCGGGCCATATGAAAGAGGGACCCTACAAACCCCATAATCGCCTCGAACAATACTATGTTTTGTCCTGATAATAGTGGAGAAAACCTTTCCTAATTCATTTTTGTACCTAAATTTAAAATCTCAATATTCTCCTCTAGGCAAGCCAACAGCAGCTAATATTTTGAACCTTGTTAGTTTGGCGGTGAGAGCTTTCTTTTGATGCAAAAATATCTGNTCGTCCATTATTTCTTCATTTTGGTTTACAAGATATTCCTCGTTCTTTTAGTTGATCTTCACTTGTATGAAATGCTTTATCTTGAGTTGTATTAAATAATATATCATTTAAAGAACGAGGAATATCTTGTAAACCAAAATGAAGAAATAATGGACGAAGTTGAACTTGAATTTGTTGAATTTGTTGTTCAGGATCTTAATAAAATAATAGTTTGATGTATATTTTTTTAAATATTACTTTCTATTTCTATATACTTAATCCTGTTAAATTAATCGTGGCACTTGCTGTTGTGGATGCTTTTCGTTCTGAAACAAAAATTTTATTATGAATGTTTGCATAAACTAACCGATGTTTCATAATGATTGAACGATATTAACAATAATTATTATATATTTTACTCCCTTTTAATTAACAAATTTGAAATATTTATGAACGCTCTACAACGATGATATATTATTTATGATCCATATTGATGAATAACTTCACAGAAATGACGATAATTTTCGTTCGGAAATAACTAATATTTTAGTGTCAGACACGCATACATGAAAAAAGACACTGCATTACATCGATAACTATAGACTTACGTTCTTCAAGTAATTTACTTCTTATTGCTAGAATTTACCTAAATGATTCAGATTTAATTGAATGTCAAATAGATTTAACAATAAAACAAAATTGTCTAGAGTTAGCATAATAGAAATATAATGGATATCGGCCGTTAAAAATCGAGACCAGTTCTAGATCTGTAGTGCAGGTCTTAAATGGTATTTTGAGAGTATATACTAATGATACTAAATTTCTTCTTTGACATACACTCAATTTAATTATCATAGAATTCAAAAGTAACTTTAATTATTTCATAGATAATAATCGACAGCTATGAAATAGTTTGAATCTTAAAATATACACTAGTGGACTAAAGTCTAGACCCCTTCTCCAATCGATCTCGGTCATTGTATGTGCTGAAGGTCTGAAAATTTGTGTGCACGTATTTCAACAGAAATGTAGGTCATTGGTATTGCGGTGTCGTTATGCATAATTACGAATATAATTTATGTTTCATTTCTCTTTAATGCAAGATTCGTTTCTGAAACTTACAGGTAATAGTGTCTAACTCTAGAGGAAGCTTCTAAAAACGTTTGAACTCATTTCATTGAACTATCATTGAATATTAGTAATCTAGATAGCTGAGACATAAAATTGCATATCGAGTAGTCGGATGACGCAAAAATATTCTTTCTTTTCATAGTTATGAGGCTGACAACGAAAATACTTACCATCCATCATAACTCCTTTTGTCATTAGTCAATAACGGCACTGCAATGTAAATGACCTACATTCCTGGTGAAGTGCATGTATTTAAGTTTTCAGATCTTCAGGACATATCATGAGTGAGATTGGTTGGGACAAAAACTTTTGTCCACTAATGTAGATTATTATACTAATCACAATCTCATATTTATAAAATAATATTTACTATTCAAATTATAAATTCATTATATATACTACAATGATCGTACATTCATTAGGAAATATTTGTTAGATTAAATTTATTTTGAAACTTACCGTTAATTATAACGTTAAAATTCATAAATTGTGTTTGTACTTTATGTTTAACATTTGCAACATATTTACCGGCATGTTCAAATTGAGTATTTTTTATAATTAAACGATGATTACCATTTGGAGATGATTCAATTAGAAAATATTCATTTGATTTTATTTCTTGACCATTTCTTGTCCATATAACTTGGGGTAATGGTGTACCTGATGCTTGACATTCAAGTGTACATGTACCACCTTGACTTACACGAACATCAACTGGTACTGATGATTCATCAGCTACATCTAATCAATTCATATTATAAAAATTCAATTGTTTAATTTAAATATTTCATCTTACCTCTAACAGTGACTTGACTGATTAATTCAGTTGTACTTATTGCACTTTGAACAACTGCCTTAAAAAGAAAAAAAAAAAAAGAAAAAGAAATTTGAAGAAAAAAAAGTTCTAGTATTTTATTACTTTATAGAATCCTGCGTCAGCTAATTCAACACCGAGTAATTTCAAAATATGTGTTGGTCCATCATCAATCATTACAACACGATTAGGTTTTTGATAAAGCTGTTTGTCATTATGAAACCATGTACAAGATGGTAATGGAGTACCATTAGCTGTAACCGTTATTGTAACCTCTTGTCCACGTGCTATATCGAAATCTTTTAATTTTTGTTGAGTAACTGGTGGCGCTAAGAAGAAAAAAGATCGCAGCAAAATAAAATTTTTAAAAAAATCATTGATAACTATTTTCTTTTTTTTAACTTACGAAGAACTTCAATATTAATTTCAGCTGTATGTGTACCATATTGATTTTCAACTTTACATTCATATTTGCCTGAATAGTTAACTGTTCCATGTGGAATTATAAATATTGCATGACCAGTTGTTTGATCAGTTTTAATTTCATAACCATCTTTATTTGATAAAACTTTTCCATCACGTAACCAAGTTACTTTTGGTGTTGGATGTCCTTTAGCCATACATTCAATGGTTAATTTTTCACCTGTTTTTATTTGAATAAATTTCGGTGGTGCTTGAGTAAATATAGGTGCTTGTTGTCCAACAACTCGAATTTTTTTTGTTCGTATGGAACTTGTACTAGTTGTTATTACAGCTTGATATTCACCAAGATAACGTTCATGAAAATGATAAAATCTAATACGATAAAAACCATCTTCAGTTACAATTAACTCATAATCAGATGAAGTAGATGATAATTCTTGTCCATTTAATAACCATGTTACTTTTGGTTGTGGTTTACCTAGTGCACGAATTTCTAAGAAAAATTCTTCACCTATTTTAGCTGTATTTGCAGCTGGAGAATCATTTAAATCAGCTAATAATTGTGGTTTTTGTTCTTTGACAGTTAATACAGTTTTTACTTCCAATGTTCCACCTTTATTTTTGATTAGTATAGTATAAACACCTTTATCTTCTGGACGTAAATCATCAATAACTAATTTATAGGAATTATATTCTTCAGTTACAATACGAATACGACGATCAAAATGAATTTCTTGAGAATCTTTATACCAAGTTACTGTATTATTTTCACCACTGAGACGTATTGGTATTTCTGCTTGTTCACCAACATTAAATGATGTTGTTGGTTCAAGTTTAGATTCTAATTTAGGTTTAGTATGAACATTTAATGTAGTAGTTGTTTCGACTTTTTCAAGACCATTATCAATAATAGCAGTATATTTGCCTATATCAGTTGTATCTAATTTAGTAATAGTTAATGTTGTTTGATTTGGATTCTCTTTTGGTGTTTCAATTTTATGTTTTGGTGATGTTTTGACTGGTTGACCATTGAAGAGCCATGTTACTTTTGGTTGAGGAAGACCTTAATGAAAAAACAAAATAAGAGAAAGTAAAATTTAGTTGTTTTTCTTTTCTTCGTTTACCGTCAGCTTCGACAGTTAATGTTGTTTGTTCACCAAGTACACCATCAGTTGTTTCAGGTAATTTTGTTTTAACAACAATAGGTGCTGTAACATTAACTTTAACAGGTTCAGTTTCTTGTTTACCTAATTTATTCTTTGCAACTAATGTATAAGTACCTTGATCTTCTTGTCCAACATCTGTTGTAACTAATCGACAAACTTTTGTTTTTTCATCGTAAGTTATTTGTGTTTTAGGTGATGGTTTTATTTCTTTACCATCTTTCATAAAAACTATATCAGGTTTTGGTCTTCCATCAACAATATATTCAAGTACTAATGTTTCATGTTGTTTTAAATCTGTTTTATTTGGTTTTGATGGCTTAATTGATACATTATCAACAGTTGTTACTTGAACATTTGAATCAATACTTCCTAAAGGATTTTCAATATGTATACGATAATTTCCTTCATCATCAGGTTGAACTTTTCTTATTTGAATTTCATAACTTGTTGAATCATTTGGATTTGGTACAATATCATAATGATCACCAGTTAATGGTATATGAATTTCATTTTTATATAATTTAATATTTGGTTTTGGTGTTGATAAACATTTAAATGGAATTATTGCTGTTTGATTTAAATGTGCTTCACATGTTGGCTGTGGTTTTTGTAATAATTGTGGTGCTGTTTCAACTTGTAATTGAACAACTTCTTCAATAGGTGTTCCAACTGAATTTTCTAAATGTAATGTTATTGGACCAGAATGTTTTGGTGCTGCTTGATTTACAGTTAATGTACTTTTACCAGTTGTTGTATCTGTTTTAATATCAAAACCATCTTTAGGTGTTAATGGTTTTCCATCACGTAACCATGTAACTTTTGGTTGTGGATTTCCATCAAATTCACATTCAAAACATGCTTGTTCACCTTCTTTAACAGTAATAAATGGTTGTGGTTTCTTTTTCAATTCTGGTGCTTTTTGTACTTGTACTTTAATTTTTTTTGTTTTAATTTGTCCAACATCATTTGTAATAACAGCTTGATATTCACCACTGTCTTTTGGTTTTGCTTTTTTTATTAAAAATGTATATGTTTCTTCTTCTTCAACAATTTCAATATTTTCTTCAACTGTTTCATGGATTTCTTCACCATTTTTATACCATTTTACTTTAGGTTTGGTGCCTGATACTTGTATTGTTAATGGAATTGTTTCACCTACTTGAGCAGTTATATCTTTGTCAAGATCAGATTTAAGAGTTGGTTTGATTTGTTGAACATTAAGATTTAATTTAACTTCTGCTGTACCACCAATATTTGTTGCTCGACATGTATATGTTGCTTTATCGGTCATTTGAGCAGATTTAAAAGTAAGAGTTTGTGTACCATCGGGTTCAGTATGTGGAGTAACATTATCCGATGGTTTTAATGGTTGATCATCTTTAAGCCAAGTAATGGTTGGTGCTGGTGAAGCAGAGATTTTACATTGTAATTTAGCTGGTTCACCAATATGGACATTAACATCCGTAGGTTTACCTGTGAAAAATTATTGAAAGGAAATTTCTTTGGTTGGTAGAATTCACGAATATTTTCAAAGAAAATAGAGAGTGTAAATTTTAAGCTGAAGTTTTTGTGACCTTTCCTCTACCTTCACGTTAGATCTTATCACCTGAAGACAACAAGTACTAGACTACATTTCCATAGTTCTTTATCAATGTAAAAAGACACTGAACGATATTAACAATTAGTTATACTACTAATTTCAATGTTCGAAATATCGTAGCGTCTGATTTGTCTGTAAATAGACAAATATATGATAGTTAGCGATGAATTGATTTGCCACAGTCGTCATATGATTAACATAACGAACATGAACTAATCAAGTTCTAACTGTTGTGAAATACACAATATCAGTATTTTTGAGTTTATCAAGATACATAATAGCATGTTGATATAAGCTATAAATGCAATGGATTTCTACGAAAGGCTTATATATTCGTTAAATTAATAAAACAATAGAAGAAAAAACTATCTGCTGAAAATGTAGAAATCAATAAGATAGATAATTTCCTTGACATATTTTCTATTCGTAAAATGAAGTAAAAACAGATTATATAAATTCCAAATTTTAGTTTTAAAAGGTTTGTACTGACAAGCTTGGTTTTTTCGTATATGTTGATTTTTACCTTCAACTTTAGGTTTGACACAAACATCAAGTTTTGATTGTGCCTTGATAGTTTCAAGACCATTTGAAACAACAACTTCATAGACACCCGTATCAACGAGATCAACTTTAGGTAATGTTAATTTATTAGTATTTCCTTTTGATTCTATTTTATATTTAGCTGATGGTGTTATTTCTTGTCCATTCAAAAGCCTAAAATAACGAAATATATAATTTCTTTGTTTTTATTTTTCATTATGATAAATTTACCATTTAACTGTTGGTTTTGGTAATCCTTCACAATCAACTTCAAGTGTAACACTTTGTCCAACTTGTGCTACGGTATCTTTAAGTGTTGTATTAAATTTCAATGGTGATGAGACTTGAATTTGTGTTTGAGCTTCACGTGTTTGTAATTTATTTTTACATACTACTTTATAAACACCCTGGAAAGTAAAAGAAAAAAAGAACAAAATAGATTTTCAATTAAAACTACTTTATTCGAAAAAAAAAAACATTTTATTACTTTATCATCTGGCGTAGCTTCTTTAATTGTCATTGAACAAGTACCATCAGGTTTTTTCGTTATTTCAACATGATCAGATGGTTTTATTTCTTTACCATCTTTTGTCCATATTACTTCCGGTTGTGGACGTCCGCTAACTTTACATTCAAGTTTAATTGGTTGACCAACTTGAATTGTTTGTTGTTCCGGAAATTGACATTTAAGCTCTGTTGGTTCAATAACATTTATTTTACATTGAGATTCTTTATCTCCAAGAGGATTTGAAATAACAACTTTATAATTGCCTTCATCTTCTGGTTTAACATTAGGTATAACTAATTCATAAGTATCATCATTAACTTTAGTACCAACATTTTTTAATTCAACATTATCTTTAAACCATTTAACTGTTGGTTGTGGACTAGCCGATGAAACAACAGTTAAACGTAGTTCTTTACCTAAAAGACATTCTTGATCGGTTAAACCTTTGGATATAGTTGGTGCAGCTGTAACATTTAATTTAAATGAAGTTTCAGTTGTTCCAACTGGATTTTCTAGTTTACAAGTTATTGTACCACTTTGATCAATACGAGCATTTTTAGCGGTTATGACAAGACGATTATTGGGAGCATCAAATGTTTGTTCAATACCATCTTTAGGTGTTAATGGTTTTCCATCACGTAATAGAGTTATCTTAGGTACAGGTAAACCATCGACTTTACATTCAATTGTTGCTGTTTCACCTTGTTTAACTGTTGTATCAGTTGGTTTGGAAACAAATTCAGGCAATTCTTAATGAGAAAAAAAAGTAAGATTAATGAAAGGAAGTTAGAACAAAGATTTACATACTTGTAACAGTAACAGCTGTCTTTTTCGTTTTAACTTGTCCACCAGGATTTTGAACAACTGCACTATATTCTCCTTGATCTTTATCTGTTGCTTTTTCAATAATTAATTTATATGTATTATCACCTTCTTCAACAATTTTAACACCTGGTTGATTTACTGGTATTTCTTCAGTTCCTTTAAACCATTTAACTTTTGGTTTAGGTTTACCATCAGCTTGTATTGTTAAAACAATAGGTTCACCTTTTGTAACATTTAATGTTGGTTGTAAATCAGATGTAAGTTTTGGTTGTACAGCTGTAACATTCAATGATATTTTTGGTGATTCAACTTCACCAGCTTTATTTGTTGCTTTTAATGTATAGGAACCTTTATCATCTAATTGTGCATGATCAATAATTAATGAGCAACCATCAGGTTTGTCAATAGTTTTTATACGTTTATTATCAATAGTCAATGGTTCACCATTCTTAAACCATTGAATATTTGGTTTTGGTACACCAGATAATTTAACATTTAATTCAGCTGGTTCATCAATAACAACTTGTGTATCTTGTACTTTACCGTCAATTTTAGGTTTCATAAGAACATCAACGTTACATGGTGATGTTATTGTACCTTGTGGATTAGTTGCAACAATTTTAAATTGTCCACCATCTGTTAAATCAACACGATTTATTGTTAATGTTTGTGTACCATCAGGTTTTGATTCAATTTTCTGTTTTGTTGTTGATTTTATTTCAGTATCATTTTGATACCATTTTATTGTTGGTTTAGGTATACCTTGACAACGACATGTTAATGTTAAATTTTGTCCACTAATTACATCTGTATCTTGTAATTTATCAATAAATGATAATGGTGCAGTAACAACTAAATTTGTATGTTCTTCAATTGTATCAGCTGGATTTTTCGCTCGTATTGTATATTTACCTTGATCTTCTTCTTTAACATTAGAAATAATAAGACGAACTTCATTTGTTTTATCATCATGTTCAATATGAAAACGTGCTTTATCATCTAGTGTTGTAACATCTTTTTTATCTTTTAAAAATGTTATTTCAGGTTTTGGATGTCCAGAAACTTTACATCGAATTACAACTTTTTCATCTTGTACAGCTTCAATTTTAGCTGGTAAAGGTTCAATAACAGGTAATGTATGAACATTTAATTTAGCTTGACTTGTTATTTCACCTTCACTATTTTTCATAACAACTTTATAAGTACCTTCATCAGTTGGTTTTGCTTGTTTTATTTTAAGTTCATATAAATTTCCTTCTTTTGGTGTTGTTATTTGATAATGTTGATCAGTTGGTGAAATAGGTTTATCATTAAAATACCATTCTGGTTTAGGTGCTGGATTTCCACTTGATTCAACAGATAATGTTACATCATGTCCTTGAACAATACTTTCATCTTTCAATGGTTTAGTTAATTTTGGTTGTGTACGAACATCAAGTTTAGCATCGTGTGTTACTTTTCCAGCTGGATTTTCAACTTGACATGTTATTGTTCCTGTCTGTTTATCAGAATCAACTTTACGTAATGTTAAGGAAGCTTTTTGAGTTGTTGTATCGAATGTAATTGCACAATCAGCATTTGGTGTTAAAGGTTTCTCATTTAATAACCAAGTTACTTTTGGTGTAGGAAATGCAGAAAGTTGAGCTTCATATGTAACATCTTTACCTTGACTAACAGAAGCATTTTCAGGAGCTTTTAGAAAAACGGGAACTTGTTGAACAGTAACTTTAACTTTTTTAGTTTTAACAACACCAGCAGGATTTTCAACTGAAGCTTGATATTCACCTTGATCATTAATTGTAGCTTTTGGAATACGAAGAACGGCAGTTGCAGTTGTATCACCAGGTTTAGTTGGTTGTTCAATAGTAACTGGACCAACTTCATTTCCATCTTTATAGAATTTAACTGTTGGTGTTGGTCGACCATCAACAGCAAGACGATAAACAAGTTCATCACCAACATTAATTGTTTGTGGTTCAAGATCATTTTTTAATGTTGGTTTTACTTCTACATAAAAAATTTAAAAAAAGAACTATAGTAATTAAATATTGATAATGATCAATTTACCTTTAACAGTTAAATTAATTTTAGCATCAACAGATCCAACTTTATTTGTTGCACGTGCTGTATAAGGTTGAGAATCTTGTGTTGTTGTATCATTAACAATTAATGTTGATTGTCCATTATCATCAGTAACAATTTGAATACGATTATCAGGTTTTATTTCAGTACCATCAGCTTTATGCCATGTTATGGTTGGTTTTGGTACAGCCGAAAATTTAACATTTAATTTACCAGTTTCATTTAATAAACATGTTACATCAGCAGGTTTACCTTCAACTTTTGGCTTAACTAAAATTATTATTTATGTTGAATAAATAAAATAAAATAAAATAAAATAACGTACCACAAACATCAACATGAGCTGTTGTTTCAATTTTTTCTTTACCATTATCAGCTACAACTTTATAAACACCAATATCAGGCATATCAGCTTTATTTATTGTTAATATACTGGCTGGACCTTTCGTATCAACACGAGTCTTTTGAGTAGATTTTATTTCATTATCGTTGAAATACCTTTTATACAAAAAAAACAAACGATTAAATTAAACTAAGTTTCTTTTATAAACATACCAAGTTAATTTCGGTTTCGGTACACCTTCACATTCAACAGATAAAACACCATTTGCACCTTGTACAATATCTAAATCATTTAATTGACTATTAAATTTTAATGGAGCTGTTACATTAACATGTGATGTTGAATCAACTTTTCCAACTTTATTTTTAACTGATAATGTATATGTACCCATATCTTCTTCTTTAATATTTGAAATAGTTAATATACAATCATCACCATTTTGTTCAATTTTAACATGATCTGATGGTGTTATTGGTTTTTGATCCTTTAACCATTGAACATCAACTTTTGGACGACCATGAACCTTTGTTTTAAGAACAAGTGGTTGATTTAATGTTACTTCTTTATCAACTAATGCAGGTTCAATACGTGGTGTTTCTATTTAAAATAGAAAACAAAATAAACAATTGTTTTTTATAAATATTTTTTTATACATACCAAGTGCTTTAAGTTGAACTGTTGAATCAGTTTCACCAAGAGGATTTTTAACTTTAATTTGAACGGGTAATTCATCTTCTGGTTTGACATCATGAATAATTAATTTTGATGTTGTTGGTGTTTCTTCAATAATATCATATTTCTTGGATGGTTGTATTACTTTACCACCATGAATCCTTTTAAACAAAATAAAATCAATTAGAAATAATAATAATAATAATAATAATCTAAAGAAAAAACAAATAATTACCATTCAACTTTTGGTTTCGGTGAACCAGAAACATCAACAGTAAAAACTGCATCTGTATGTAATAATGCTTCTGTATCTGTTGGTTTTTTTGTAATTTTTGGTGCCGCTTAAATATGAATGAATCAATGGAATAAATATTTAAAAAAAAAATGTTCTATTACTTTTAACTGAACATGGTACAGTTTCTTCAATTGAACCTGTTGGATTTTCAGCTTTAACAGTTATTTTTCCATCATGTTTAGGTGTAACTTGTTTAATTGTTAATACTGATGTACCATTTGCTTGATCTGTTTGTACATCAAAACCATCTTTTGGTGTAATTGGTTTTCCATCAAATAACCATGTAATTTTTGGTGCTGGATAAGCATCAACTTTTGTATGAAATTCAGCTAATTGATTTTCATTGATATCAATTGGTGTTGGTTTTTCAAGAAATTCAGGTGCTTTTGTAACAGTTAATTTACCTTTTTTAGATTTAATTGTACCACCAGAATTCGTTATAACAGCTGAATAATCACCTTGATGTTCAGGTTTACATTTATTTATTTTAAGAGTATACGTATCAGATTGACTATCATGAATTATTTGAAAATCTTTATTTGTTGGAAGGATTTCTTCAGTATCATTTTTAAACCAATGAATTGTTGGTTGAGGATTTCCTGTTGCTTTTATAGTAAATTGTGCTGGTTCATCACGAATTGCATTTACATTTGTAAGATCAGATAAAATTTGTGGTTTTATTTCTTTAACAGTTAAATTTATTTTTGAATCAATTTCACCAAATTTATTTGTTGCACGAGCAATATATGGTGAAGTATCTGTTAAATCAGTCTTTTTTATTTTCAAGACATTTGTACCATCAGGTAATTCACTAATTTCAATATGATCATTTGGTTTTAATGGTGTATTTAAATCACTTTCTTTATACCTAAAAGAGAAAAAAACATAATATAAAATTGAGAAATAAATGAGAGAGAGAGAGAGAGAGAGAAAGAAAAGAATAACACACCAGTGGACAGTTGGTTTAGGTATTGCACTGAATTTAGTACGTAATTCAGCTGGTTCATTAATTTGTACGGTAACATCATTGACTTTACCTTCAACTTTTGGTTTAGCTAAAGCAAAATAAATATTTAGTAGACAAGAATATTCATTTTGAAAATAAACATACTGCCAACAGAAATATTTGCTTTTGTTTCAATAGTACCATCAGGATTTGTTGCAACACATTTATATGTTCCTTGATCAGTTAATTCAGCTTTTGGTATTGTTAATGTATGAGTATTTTGTTTAGATTCAAGTTTAGTTTTAGGAGTATTTTTAATTTCTTGATCATTAAAAAGCCTATTAGAATAATTAAAAGAAAAAAAAAACACAATGTAAATGCTATTGCTAATCATAGGAAGACTGTTTTATTCAATCTATTTTCAAACATATTTCTTCAGTATCCGTTTACTGAATCATCTAGAAATGTAGCAACAAACTAGTTCATATATTAAAACGAGATACTATTAATATACGATCCTTAGTTGTATATCAACAATATCTGTTACGATCTGTGGGGGTACAAATTTCTACCCTATATACTTCAACATTCGTTTTAGATCGTATTTTCACAGGAAAAAGTCTAGACAAAGAAAAAATTATTTAATATACCATTTAACTGTTGGTTTTGGTATTCCATTTGTTTCAACAGTTAATACACATGGTGATTGTGAAAGAACATCTTCATCTTTTAATGGTTGAACAAATTCTAATGGTGCTTTAACTGTTATTGTTGAATTAATTTCGTTTTGTCCAACTTTATTTTTAACTAATAATGTATATTTATCTTGATGATCTGTTTCATCAAGTGATTTAATAAATAATTCACATGTACCATCAGGTAATAATTTTATTTTATGTCGATCATCAGGTTTTAATTCTTTACCATTTTTAAGCCATGTTGTTGTTGCTTTTGGTCGACCACCGATAACTTTACATTTAAGTGTAACATCAGAACCAATTGGTTGTGTTACATTACCAAATGGTTGATCAACTATTGGATGTTCAAGAATTGTTAATTGTGCAGTTGATTCAACATGACCAAGGGGATTTTCAGCTAATACACGATATTTACCTTCATCAGGTATTTTAGCATTTTTAATAATTAATGTTTGAGTTGTACCATCCGATTCGATAATATGATTGGCATCAGGTTTTATTGGAACATCATCTTTTATCCAAGATATTTTCGGTGAAGGTGAACCTGTAATATCAGTAACAAAACGAATTTCATTATTGACCATAACTTCTTGATCAGTTAATTTCTTGGTAATAACTGGTACAGCTAAAAATGAAATTAAAATTGTTCTATTTTGTTTTATTTTGTTTTGTGATAAATAAATTTACTTTGAACATCAAGTGTTACTGGTGCATCTGTTGTGCCAGCTGAATTTTCTACTCGACAGATAAGTGGGCCAGCTAGTTTTGGAGTTGCACCTTTATGTTTAAGTGTTATTTGACCAGTTTTAGTATCAAATTGACTTTCAAAACCAAGATCAGGTGTTAATGGTTTGTCATTTTTAAGCCTAAACAAAAGAAAAACCAATCATTAAATATTCAATTTTTTCTTTGAACTTTTTTACCATGTCACTTTTGGTTGTGGATAAGCATCAATTTGTGCTTCAAATATAACTGGTTGTCCATCTTTAACTGTTTGTGATTGTGGTAATTTAATAAATTCAGGTTTTTTCTGTACAACAACTTTTGTTTTCTTTGATTTAACTGTTCCACCTGGATTTGTTGCTTGTACTGAATATTCAGCTTGATGATCAGGTGAACAATTTTTTACAGTTAATGTATATGTTTGTTTATTATCAAATGTTATTTGATAATCTTTATTTGTTGTTGGATTAATTTCATCATTACCTTTAAACCATTTAACTTGTGGTTGTGGTAAACCAGTTACTTCAACTTGAAGTTCTAATGGTTTATTTTTTTCAATAATTTGTTGTTCGGGTAAATCACGAACAATATTTGGTTTAATTGAATTAACAGTTAAATTCATTTTCGCTTCAACTTCACCAAATCGATTTTTAGCTTTACATGTATATGTTGCTTTATCATCAAGTTGTGATGGAGCAATTTTTAATGAATGAACATTTGGTTTATCTTCATGAATTGTTATGCGCTTATCGGGAACTATTGGATTATTATCTTTAAACCAAGTTACTTCAGGTTTTGGAAAACCAGAAAATGTACATTCAAGTACAGCTGGTTGTTCAACATTGACTGTAACATCATTAGGTTTACCTTCGACTTTTGGTTTACCTAGGAAAAAACAAACAAAATAATTAATAAAAGAAAAACGAAAAGAAAATACATACTGCCAACAGTAAGAGTACATGTTGTTTCAACAGTTTTACCAGTACCATTATCAGCAACTGCTTTGTAAACACCTGTGAGAAAAAAATAAATAAATATTTAAATCAATAAAAAACAGAAAACAAATAATGTACCAGCATCAGTCTGATCAGCACGATTAACTGTTAATGAATGAACATTTTGTTTACTTGATATTGTTTGTTTTTGTGTTGATTTAAGTTCAATATCATTAAAGAACCTATTTAAAATAAATTTCTTTCTTTTTGTTTTTTTTTTCTTCTATATGAAACTTACCATTTAACATTTGCTTTCGGAATACCTTGTACTTCACAAGTTAATGTTGCATTCTGTGTATTAAGTACATCAGTATCTTGTAATGGTTGAATAAATTTTAATGGTGCTGTTACAGTTAAATGACCATCAGTTTGATTTGTACCAACTTTATTTTTAGCTATACAAGAATATAAACCATGATCATCTTCATTAATATCTTTTATTATTAATTTTGCATTGCCATCTTTATCTATAGGTACAATAGAATATTTTTTATCATCAGGTTTGATTTCTTTTCCAGCTTTTAACCATGTTAATGTTGGTTGTGGTGTACCATTAACTTTAACATTTAATTCAATTGTTTCTTTTGCAATAACTGTTTTATCTTTTAAACCAGATACGAAATCTGGTGCATTAATAACATAAAGTTTAGCATCTGTTTGAATATGTCCAAGTTCATTTGTTGCTTTTGCACTATAAGTTCCATGATCATTTAATGTTGTATTTTTAATAATAAGTTTATGTTGATTAGTTTTTGTGTCATATGTTATATCATATTTATTCGGTGTTGCATTTATTGGTTTACCATCATGAAACCATTGAATATTTGCTGTTGGTGATGATTGAAATTCACAAGTAAATGATGCATCACTATTAGTAATAACTTCTGTATCAGTTAATGGTTTAAGAAGAATTGGTGCAGAACGAACATTAATATTAACTGTTTCTTCAGCTGTACCAGCTGCATTTTCTGCACGAATAGTTATTGGACCCGCATGTTTTGTTGTAATATTTTTAACACTTAATGTTGCAATACCAGTTTTCATATCATATGTTGTTTCATATCCTTCTTTAACTGTAACTGGTTTACCATTAGCTAACCACGTTAGTTTTGCTTGTGGTAATGCATCAATTTGACATTCTATTTTACCTGTATCAGTTTGATTAACAGTAATTGATTGTGGTTTTTTAATAAATGTTGGTTGTTTTTGTATAGTAACTTTACTTTTTTTTGATTTAATTAAACCAGCAACATTTGTTAATTGTGCTTGATATTCTCCCATATCATCTTGATTAGCATTTTTAATAATGAGAAAATATTCATTTGTTGTTTTATCTTCTTTAAATTGTATACGTTTATCTGTTGTTGATGTTAATTCAGTATTATTTTTAAACCATTGACATGTTGGAGTTGGATTACCAGTACCAGCTATTGATATTATAAGATCTTCATCTTTTGTACCTGTATATGCTCCATTGAGATCACGAGTTATATTTGGTTTGATTGCTATAAATTAAATGAAAAAAACCGAACATGATAAAATAATGGTTTAGAAAACGTTTTATTTAAACTTACGTTTAATAACTAAATTAGCTTTTCCTTCAACTTCACCAGCTTTATTTGTTAATTTAACTGAATAAACACCTTTATCATCCATATTTGTATTATGAATTGTTAATACAGATAATGTTGATGTTTCTTGTGTAATTGTAAATCGTTGATCATTCTTTGGTATAGGTTTTTCATCTTTATACCACGTAATAGTTGGTGTTGGATTACCTGAATATTGACATTGTATACGAGCATTTTCACCAATATTAACTGCAACATCAGCTAATTTATCAACTTTTGGTTTTGTACATACATTTACTTTAGCATGTGCTTGAACTTTATCAACAGGATTTTCAGCTATGATTGTATATTCACCTTCATCAGCTGATTCACCTTTAAGAATAGTTAAAGTGTAAATACCATCTTTTTTTGCATCAATTTGATGTTTTGTTGCTGTTGATTTAAGTGGTTGACCTTTAAATAACCATGTAACTTGTGGTTTTGGACTACCAGTTACTTCAGCAGTAAGAACAACTGATTGACCAACAAGAAGAATAGAATCAGTTGGAGGTTTAACAATTTGTGGTGGACCTTGTTAGACACAAACAAAACAAAACGAATTAATCAAAAGAAGAAGAAGAGAAAAAAAAAAACTATAAAACATACCTAATATTTCTACATGTCCTTCTGTTTGTATATCTTGATATTTTGCTGTATAAATACCTTTATCTGCATCAGTAGTTGTTGGTATAATTAATCGATGAACTAAACCATTAACTTCTTCTTTAATATCTGTTATTGGTTTACCATCTTTAAACCATTGTAATGCAATATTTGGTTTATTAACCGTACATTGTAATTCACATTTATCACCACGTTTTACTTTTAAATTTTTTAACTTTTCTGTGAAATCAAATGGTTCTTCTTTAACAAATAATTGTGCACTAGTTTTTGTTGCTTCATCAAGTGTACATGTTATTGTTGAATTATTTTCATTTAATAAACAGTCTTTTAATACAAGACGTCGTGTTTTACCAATGGATAATGTTTGTGCACGTTGATTAGGTACAGGTTGATCATTAATAAACCATGTTACAGGTGCTTCAGCTTCAGATACATTACATTCAAATGCAGCATTTTTACCTTCATGTACAGTTATATTTGAAAGTGGTTTTGTAAATGTTACAAGACCGAGACGCGATGGTCGATGATCTTTACCAGTTCCTGATCTTGGTCCACCTAATCCATATCCGCCATCATCTGGTAAATTTTCATTACTACCCATACCTCCTGTTGATCGACGTTTAGCAAAACCACTAGGTGATAAACCTAATAAATCTCCACTTTGACCTTTATCATGTGTTTTTAAATGTGCATCACCAGTTAATTCGAAATGTTTTAATTGATATTGCCATCCAGGATCACCTGGACCTTTTGGTATAGCTTTACCTTTCTTTAATTTACCCCAATCAGGACCAGCTTCACGATCACGTACTAAAGCTACCCTATACAATGAAACAAAGAAAAAAAACAAGAAAATATAATTATCAGTCTAATATTATCTAATGAATCTTACATTTTACGTAAAATACTTTTATAATCAATAACTTCATCTGGTTTTGTTACAGTAAAACATGAAACAGGCTTTGTTAATGTTCCATGTACATTTTGAAGTGTAACTGTATATATACCTGTATCAGCTTGTGAACATTGATTAATTTCAAAAAAATGTGCATCAAGTTCATCATCATAATAAAGTGAATATTTTGGTGTATTTTCTACAAATGTTTTTGTTTTGCCTTTTGACCATATAACCATTGGATATGGATCACCAGATACTCGACATCCAAATACAGCTATTTGTCCTTCCAAACAACTAACTTTTTCCGGTGTATCAATAAATGCTGGTGCTTCACCAGAAACTGTTATTGTACATTTAGTTGATTTTTCTCCACCAGGATTTTTAGCACGACATTCATAAACACCTGTATCATGTTCTTGACAATCACGTATTGTTAATGTCCATGTTGCTGAACGTGTATCAAATACAATTGATATACGATCATTTTCATCAAAAACTTGTCCATCTTTAAGCCATGTTAAACGTGGTAATGGTAAACCACTTACTTTAAGATCAGCTTTTAATATTCCACCAACAGGAAATATTGCATCAGTTAAAGTTTTTGTAAAATTTGGTGGTGCTAATGCTAAAAATAAAAACAAAGAAATTAATATCTAATTAAAAATTTTAGCAAAATGACATACGAAATAATGTTAATTTAGCAACACATGATGCTTGTCCAAGTGAATTCGTTGCTGTACATGAATATGAACCAGCATCGGATGATTGTGCATTTGCAATTGTAAATATATACCAACCATCTTTAAGTTCTTTTAATATATATCTAGAAATAAAAACATACAAAACAAATATTGTCATAAAGAAAAATGTAAGAATTAAGATCATACCGTTGTCTTAAATCAATAGGTTTTTGATTAAATGAAAAAACTAATGAAGGCTTTGGATAACCAGCAACTTGTACACGAATATCAATATCACAATTTTCTACACCTTCTAATTTTTCTAATTTTTGTAAAAATACTGGTGCTACTTCAATTGTTAATGTAGCTGATGTTTTAGTTGTACCAAGTGGATTTTGTGCTGAACATACATAAAATCCACCATCTTCTAATTGTACATTTTTAATAACTAATGAATAAGTTCCTCGACGTTCTTCAGCAATTATTCGTGCAGGAGATAAATTAAAATCAATTGGTATGGCATCTTTTGACCAGTTTATTTTCGGGTCTGGGTATGCATAAACTTGTGTTTCTAATCGAGCTATACGTTTTATTGGTACAAGTAAATCTTTTAATGGTTGAACTATAATAGGTGGTGATGATATTCGAACTTCGATTTTTCCTGTTATACGACCAAGATTATTTGAACACATAACTTGATATTCACCGGCATCTTGTGCTGTTGCATGTTGAATACGTAATTGATGACTAGTACCATTCGCTGTTATTTTATATTTAGCATTTGTTACTAAATCTTCAGCTAAATGTGACCATTTTATTTGAGGAGGTGGTAAACCAAATACTTCCATATTTATTTCACAATCTTGTCCATCAACAACAGTGACTATTTCAGGTAGTTTAACAAATGTTGGAGCGACTTCAACAACAACTTGAGCATCAGATATACTTTGTTCATTACCTAAAGTAGCTTTTACACTATAATAACCAGCATCCGATGGTACAGCTTGTTTTATTGTTAAGACATGAACTTTGTTTCCTTTCACAGATGCAATTATTCGATCTGATTTTTCTATTGGTTGATTATTTTTCATCCTAGAAATCATTTAAAGAAAAAAACTAAAAAATATCTCAAAATTCAAAGAAAATTGTCAACCAAAATAAGAAATATTATTTCGCACTATGATCTAAAGTGTGTCCTCTGCTCTCCAAAATCGATTTTTGATACAGTACATAGAGCTTCCATGAAACTTTCTGAAGATGTTCGGCTAATTAAAATGCACTTTTCAAAACAAAAAATTTTCATATCTCAAAAACTAACTGTCCAGAAGGTGGCCAGGATTCATAGTACACAATAGGACTTTCAAGCTATAGTGCTCGAGTTGTTCTCATTTGAAAGAAAACTTCTTATTGCTTTCGATGAAAGAAAGAGTATTTTTAATTTTCGTATGATTTCATTTTTGGAGCCTTCAAAATATTAAAATTTCCAAAAAATCCCAGGCAATATTGTCTAGAAAGTTCATTTCGATTAATTAGCTGCAAGGGTAGTTGTAATTCTCCTATGGATATGACATTGACATTTTCATTATGGAGCTCGAAAAACTCATCATTATTTTTAAAGAAATTTCTTAAAATTGGAAATTATGCTTATGTCACCGCAACAGCTTCTTTTTTGGAGAAACTGTAGAATTCCATGAATTTACATTCGATCTGAGGGTCTACAAGTCCACAAATCTGAATCGTAGTGATCGGACGGATTTAATCTAACTGTGATAATTTAGTAGAGTGGTGGAAGAGATTTTCGAAGAACTTCTCGAAAACAATCGTAGCAGTGGCACATCTTCAGTTACAATAGATATCTTTGATATGTATATCAGATGTTAGGGGACAGAGGGAATATACTATTAGATAACATAATATAGCTAGCAAAATATGTGAACTATTGCATCAAAGGAAAAAAAGATAGGAAAGGAAGAAGATCATAGAACACTATAGAAAATACTTGATAGCACGAAAGAATAAAAATAGCCATCGATCACCGTCGCATGTGAAGAGATCGAAGTCACAAAAATAACGAAAAGTGTCTCTACAATCAAAAGTGCACTATCGACAGATTATCAAATACGGTGCAAGCTTTGAGATATTCAGCAGAACAGTGATATAAACATCATTTTTCGTCCGGCAGGTGTCTAAGACAAGACTTATTTACTAATTTCATCAAAAAAAGTATAGTTTTGCACATTGTTACACGATGTTTTTTCTCTGAAAAATACACAGGTTCTAATGTGGTTTCATTGTGAGAGTAAAACTGTCTTTTTACTACTTATAGATCAACAAGAAGATGAATTTTTATCATTACAGTTTGAAATGTTACGTTCTTAAACCTTCATTAAAACATTTAAAAAATAATGAAATTCCATGATGGACAATATTTTTACTTTTTTATTCGATGCAGTTATGCTTCTTAAGAAATGATCGATATTCTGAAAGCTTATAGAAAACTAAACAAGTTTCATATAGAATATTTATTTTTATACCACTTCATTTTGTAGTATAACGCTAAAGTCTCGCTTCACCCTAAAAAAACAATTCCGTTTTTTTTTGATGAAATTTCGTGAAAGACGATGTCTTTTGAATAACTCAAGTCTCGCTAAAGAAACATCAATGAAATTTTTATTCATGGCAGATTTAAATAGTTTGCCTTTATGATAAAAATTTCAGAGGATTAGCATTGATCATTGATGAGATATAAATGTTACGATGTAAAATAATGAAATTCTATGACGCTAGGTCATGTCACTATGGTTAGTTAACAACGTGTATGTATACAGAAAGAAAGAGGACAAACACATATGGATAATACCTTTAACAGATTTTCCTTATGGCACGTCTGGTGTACGTGCCATAACAACACCTTCCGGGTTATATCTATATGTTTATCTAAAAAAATATCCTTCCTTTGAGAAATATCTATTTTCTTGAGGTAGGATATCTTAATAGTCGTTGTCTTTTTTTTCTAGAAAATATCATTGTTTTTTTATTTTTCTATGACTTTAGATTCTTAGAAGAATATAAGTTGAAATGTAGAACAGAATCCATTATGATCAATTACTAGTTTCTTATAAACAATACTCGAAAAGAAACAACATTTCTATAATTATTTATCGATTAATTCTGAATTCCTTCCTATTGCCCTTTTTCTCTGGTCACAAATCGTTCCCTTTATGGTTCTTTTTACTCTATCTCCTCTATATCTCTCCGACAGTTTGATAAAAAAAGAATTTTTGTCTTACCAAACAATTGTTGGTACACCTTTTTTAATATCAAGTTCACAATCAAGTGTTAATGGACGTCCTTGTGTAACTGATGTATCACGTAATGGTCTTTCAAATAATGTACTTAAACCTAAAATTACAATCATTCATATATCTAAATGAGCATGTTTATTTTTTTAAACTAACCTGTAATACTAAGATCAATTTCAGTTGAAGCTCGTCCAACAATATTAATGGCTGTTATAAGATAAGTTCCCATAACATCAGCCACAGCTTTTTTAATTAATAAATAATGCATATCATTTTCTGTTCTTAATTGATAGAATTCATTTGAAGATATTGGCATTCCTTTTCGAGTCCATGTAGCTGTTGGTGTTGGTGCACCAGATATTTTAACAAAAAATTCAACACTGTCATTAGGATTAACTTCAATGGATTTTGATTTGTCAATTATACTTGGTGCACGTTGTTCACCAGTAATTTGTAATTGAACTTCACGTGAAATTTCTGATAGAATATTTTTTACAAGACATTTTATTGTACCAGCATCATTATCTGTAACACTATTTATACGAAGAACAAATAAACCACGCTCTTCAACAATAGAAATTTTACCACCAGAACGTAAAAGTTGTCCATTAAGAAACCATTGTACCTAAATGAAAGATGATTTAATAGATATATATGTATTGAACTTTAAAAAAAAAAGAAGATTTACTTCTGGTTTAGGACTTCCAGCAACACGACAATTAAATTCTACCATTTTTCCTTTAACACCTGCTGCTGATTTTGGTTCAATAGTAAATGTTGGTGGTATACCCCTCATTTCTAATTGTCCTTTTGAATTAATTTCTCCCAAACTATTTTTTAATATTAATTCATAATGACCTACATTTTCTTGTCTAAATTGTTTTATATTAAGTACATGTATATTTCCATCATGTGAACGATCAACTTTTGTAAACATATTTCCATCCTTTAAGTTTGTAGGATCAAAAAATTTACCATCTTTAAACCATTGATGTTCCGTATCATATTTTGATTTACATTTTAATGCACATGGTGAACCTAAATCAATTTGAAATTTTGAAAGACCTTGAACAATAATTGGTTTTTGTGTTATTGGTTGAGTTTGATCAACATTAGGTTGTGTTATACTTGAACGACGTCTTTGAATAGGTGCACTAGGAGTTTGTAATTCTGATTCTTCAAATGCAGCTCTTCGTTGATTAATTGATTGTGCAAATTTTTTAACCTGACATGTACTTATTGTATGACCATAGGTATTTTGTGCTTGAGCTTTAAAAACACCTAACTTTTTATGTTTAGAACTTATTTGTAATTGATGACGAACAGTATGAGCATTTAATGTTTCAGTCTTTTTATCATAACCATCTCCAAAGATTATTTTACGATCATTATATAACCAAATTAATTCAGGTAATGGATTACCAGCAATTATACATTCGAGACTAAATATTTTCGGAATAGATAATATAAAAAGATTTTAAAAAAATCAAATAAATCTATTGTTCTTACGTAAGTGGATCATCTTCATTAATAAATAATTCATTTTCAAGTGCTTGAGGGAAACTAGGCTTTCCTTCAGGTATAGCAAATGTACTGGAATGACGTCTTACAGTAGCATTTGAAGCTTCATTAAGCATTTTTTCACTTTCACCGTTACTTATATTCGAAGACAATAAGCAATTATTACTAGAAAAAAAAATAATAGTAACAATAATAATAACAATAAATATAATTTTATAGCGAAAATAGATCGAAATTGAGTTATTTTAAAATGATCATGATTGTCAATCTCAGGGACAAAGATTAGGGCTTAAATAACAACGATTAATCATAAAAAGATATAGAAGATTACTGCCTACGAGCAGTTGATCTTATACAGCACTAATACAAGTATGTTTACAAATAATGTTACTGTTGCCAAAAATAAGGTCATATGCATCTATTGTCAACTCGACTTGATGATTTACCTCTCTTGTTAAATAAATTGTATAATTGTTGTTCTTATAATTATGTTACTTTTCGCCACAAAGCAAGGATAAGCATAAGAAATGTCTAGAAAAACTTCAATAAGTTTAGGGCCTACTGTTTATACTATTTTTTTTTTCTGCATTGACTCATCAGTTCGTATATCTATAAATATCAGCACTCTGTAATCGTGTGAGTGCAGAACTTTTGTACAGTAGAACAAACAGATAACAACAACAACAAAAAAAGAAATGCTCTATTTTCTGTTGTTTGTCTCCACCCACTTTTTCGTCGTTTCTTTAACTTGTTGTTTTCTTTATCAAACAGAAGTCTTTTTTTTCTCTTCACTGTCATACTGACAACCATCATTAACCAATTCGTCTGTCTGTTTTTCCTCTTTGAGAAAATATCCAAAAGGATACATAGGATATATTCTTGGTTAGATTACGTTTGTTTTTTTTTCTCTTTCTATTCCACTGTTGACAAGAAATAACATGCCGTTATTTTTTTGTATATTGCCGCAGAATACCAACCACATCCTATCTTTTTTCAATAATACAAGTTACTGTCTACATGTTGTTCTTGTATAATTATGCGATAAATAGATGGTCAAAACACACAAAAAATAATAATAAAGCAAAAATACAATATATGCAATGGATTAGTTAATTATATATCGCTGCATGCATAAGTTTTTTTATAAGCTGTAAACGAACAGAAAAAATAATAAACACAGATATTTTTATATAGTTCTTCATTGGGAATTTTTATTATCCGTTTGACATACATGCCTATGTAGACGTTTGCATCGTTAGTCTTTATCGTATTCACCAGAATTCAATCAAACACTTTTAACAAAACAAAAAAAAAGTACAATATCTGGTCTTTCATGTTGTTTCGTATATATATATATCGATATCTTTATTTGTTTATTATCATTTTAATATCTTCAAAATGATATTCAATATGTGCAATTTTTAATAAATATCTAGTAGCTTTTATGTGACAAAGTTATCAACGAACGCAATTAGTATAATAATTGTTTGTCTTGTTTTATACAGAGATAAAACCCAAGCCATTTAACTGAGATAAATTAGTACTTAACGACCTTGGGAATAGAAAAATATGCATTTAACTAGCTTCTAGAAAGAAACAGAAAAGGAAAACTATACTTAACCAATAAGTAATTAAAAGGCTTCATTCATAAAGATATATTTAGCTCATTTGTTTCTCTTCTATGAATATTGGCATTGACAACAGTTTATGTTCTAGCCTTGTTGTTACAAGTAAAAGAGAGCCAAAGGAACTATTATGATCATCATCTGAGTATAATTTTAAAATAGACAATGAATAAGAGAGTGTTTGCCTGAAAAGATAGGATAAATGAGGAAGATTCTAAAGTTGTGTTGTTTTAAATACAAATACAGCGTTTGAACATTCTTTTTTTCCTCATTGAACTGAGTAAGAAAACACTAAATAAAGCTGAAACTAGAGATTTGCAGGACACAGGAACAAGCGTCCTTTCGATCATAACTAATGATTTCCCATTTGGGTCTCTTTTCAGTTTGATCATAATTCATCAAATTAAAAGGAAATAATAAGCCTTTACTTATCCTCATGATAAGTTATTAAAACAGTTTAATTTCGAACGATTATTATTGAAATATACGAGTGGAATGGGAAAAGCGAACAACAAGTAACTTGCTGTTCATAACTACACATAGTAATGCATTTGTGCTTAATTATCAAAGTTTATCTTTAGCAATGCAATGCAGCAAAAATGAAAAAAAAAAAAAATTTGTAAAGAGCTAACAGCAAGGAGATTAGGTGGCTTTCATCATCTATATACTATATAACATGTCTGTACATTATCAATGTTGATAATTTTTGGGTTTTTCCTGTTATTCTTTATCATACAAGTTATTCTATTCTATAAAAAATATAATTATGAATCATTGTAGTTGATAATATAAGGACCGAACTGAGAAGTTATCGAATGAGACCGCAGCAGAAATAAACCGCGATCAAAACAACAGAAAAAAGAGATTGATGAAGCCAGGACCGCAGCTATGAAGAAAAAAATTATCTCAACCCGAACGAAAGATTATAGTCAACTATTGTATGATTTTAAGTGCATTATCGTGGAAATCATATCAATCAGAACATAATTCAAGAGAGATAACCTTAAAAAGTGCTAGTCGTCGACTAAATCAATCAAAAAACAAGTATTGAAGAATTGCTTTTTGAAGTAGTACAAATAAAACCTGGAATAGTTGTTCTCTAGGCTATGATCGACGGAGAAATGAATTACTGGAACTAAAAGAACAATTGCATTGCGTACATCTCTAGTTGAAATACTTACTCATTCTTTGGAGGCATTTCAGTCTTGTTCATGATTATTTTTTTCACAGGTGTATGAAGTTGTATTGTTATAGATTCTAAAATATAATTATAATTTAGTTTTAATATTTTTCTTTCAAATGTACACACCTCGTTTAACATTTACTTGTGCAGCACTAACAGCTTCACCTAATTCATTCTTTATTATTACTTTAAATTTACCATCATAATTAAAATTTATTTTATCGATAGTTAATATTGAACTAAACGTATGAACATCATGTGATTGATCAATATGTACATTAGATGAAGGTACGAGTACATTTGATTTAAAATACCATGTTACCTATATAAATAATACAAAACAGATAATCATATAATACATGATAATATGAAAACTCTTTCCTCAACTAAATGAAAGGTCATTCGAAATAATATGAATGGGTGTGTTTGTTTGCTTTCACGTGTTAAGTGACATGTAAACATATCTTTATGAGGGTTTAGAAAAGCTACTTGAAGAGGAGTTTGTTCATGTTGACAGCCCAGCCAATCATATATGTGGTGGTAGCATGGCTGGAAATGAGGGTGCCCGGGTATTCTGTAAATTTGGATGAAGCAAATATATATGCAATATGGGCGCTGGTGTAGCTGTTTATATATGTGTGAGTGTTTGTGTACGTGGGTGTTATTGTATGGGTGTGTGGTTATGAGTGCGATTAGTTGAAAAGAACAACCAAGTGGTCACTTACAATTAAACCCACCTTAATACATACATTTGATCTTAGTATTGATTGAATTTTCATATTAATATATTATATAGAAAGAATTGAAAATTCAGTCAAGGCGCAAGCGATTCGCAACGACAAACGTTACTTATTTTTTTTACCTTTGGTTTTGGTTGACCAATGAAATGAACTTCGAGTTTAAGTTTATCATTATTATTTACTATGGTTGTTGGTTTTAGACGAAGAGAAAATTTTGGTCGAACTAATTCTGTTTCTGTATGAGTAATCGACGTGTTAGGTGATGATCCTTGTTGAGAAATAGACAATCCATCTGACGATGGACATTGATCAGTTTGTTTTTGATTGGATGATTCAATCGATACTGGTTTTTCAATAATAATTTGTTCTTTTTTCTTTTCATCAGGAATTTTTTGTAAATCTGATATGTTTTCTTCTGAAGAATTTTGTTTTTCTGATTCAGAAGGAATACTTTGTGAAATATTTTGATCAACTGATGTTATCTCTTCAGTTGTTGTTGTTGTTGTAGATTTTTTCGAAATGATTTCTGTCGTTTTTTTCTTGTCGATAATTAATGGTTTTTGATTGTTATCAACAGGACTATGTGATATAATTTTTTTCTTCTTTTTCATTAATTTAGATTTTTTATCAGAATCAATTTGTTGTCGATGTGAAATTGTTTGTTCTTCTTTTTTATTTTCAAATTTTTCTATTATTACATCTTCAACATCATCTTTTTTAATTGTTTGTAATGGTAAAGATATTAATGTATTCACTTCATTTTCTATTAAACTAAAATTTTCTACAGTAGTTGGTATTTTTGTTAATGTTAGATCGAGTTTAATTTCACTAAAATCATCAATAGCAGCATCATGTTGTAATTTTTCGGCTACAGCAAGAGTAATTGAAGGTTTCTCCAATGATGTAATTAATGTAACATCTGTTTTTGTCATTTCATTTAGAAATTCTGATTCAACATCAAAGAATTCATCAAAATCATTTACAATAGTAACTTTGTTTGAATTCTCTGTTGATGAAGATAAAATGATTGGTATTATTTCTGTAGTACCTTCAATATGAGTAACTTTTCTTGGTTCGAGTGAAGCCGAAAGAACATCTTGAACAATTCTATCTGGTATACGTTGCTCATCTGTATTTGTTGTTTGATCTGGCATTGTTGCAAGTGGTAATAAATCTAATTGAGCTGGAACAGATAAAGATTCTATTGATTCACTCGGTAATTTTTCATGAATAATAGTACGAAATATAATAGAAGACTGTTCACTACTCCAAGTATCTAAATACATAAATAGAAAAATAAAATTTACTATAAACATTTTTTTTTTTAAATTCTTTATGATCTTATTATACCTTGTATTGTTTGAATAGATGAATTTACGGATGAAATTTCTTCGGTTGTAATAATAATAGCTTCAGGTTTTTGATCATCTGAATATGTTTTACATGTTGGTATATCAATATAATCAACAATTTTGTTTGATAAAATTTCATATGATTCTTCAGTTTTATGTATATTTAATGTTAAAACTTCTTCTTCTTCTACAATATCAATGAATAAAGTTGGTTCTGTTGAAAGTAAATTACGTGAAGTTGATTGTATTGAAGAATTGTTATCTGATTGATTCAATGACAAATGAATTTCAATGTTGTTTTCTGATAATAATTGTTCATTTGGTGCTTGAGTATCGATAACAAAAGTTTTTTTAGCTTCGAATAATTCATCTTCTACATGAAATTTTTCAATTACTTGATCGATAATATTTGATAAATATGTTGAAATTAGAGTTTTGTTTTCTTCTTGCTCTTTCATAATCGATATTATTTGATTAACTTCTATTGATTGTGTTTCTATTTGATTATCAGTGTTAACAAGTTTCAATTGATCATGTGATTCATTTAATAAATCAGTAAGTTCAATTTGATTTGTTAATAATTCATATTCAAACGATTCTAAAGATTCAATACAATCACTATTATCAAGATTAACTGAACTTTCTTCAATGATGATTTCATTAGTCATAGTATTCGACTGTATAATTAATGTAGATTGATCATCAATTTCATTTGGTTCTTGGTAAACTATAAGATTTACATCAAGAAATATTTCTTGATTTAAGTCATCAATTAAAGAAATATTTCGAATACTAGTTGAATTAATATCTAATCGATGGCTTATATATGGTTCATCGACATATTCATTTGTTGATGGAAGTAAATGTGAAATTTTTGAAATTTGACGTGGTGATGATGATGAACATGTATCATTATCAGCAATAATATCAGACCATTGCTCAACATTATGTAGAACTTCATCGAGTGAATTCGATGAAGAGGAAATAAGTTGTGATTGTTCAGTTGTACTGAAATCATTATCTATGATTGGAGACAATTGTTGTTGGATAAGGTTCATGGTAGAAACTTCTAGATTAGGAATAATATTTGGAATGTCCTCATAAATATGTTCTTCAAGAATATCATCAATGGGTGGTGGAGGTGGAAGTTCAAATTTAATTCGAACTGTTGAATCACGTCCCTACAAAAAAAAAATTTCATATCGAATATCTAATATATATTAATAAAGTTTTCAAAAACAACGAAAAATTTATTTAATATCTATTAAAATATATTATAGTCTTACACTTACATTCTTTATTTGATAATTATTCATTGGAATTCGTGGAACAACATCTTCATTTTCAAATTGTTCAATTGATTCAACATTTTCGAATTTAATAGATGGATCAAAATATGCAATATGTCGTTGACCATATAAATCTTTGCCATTCAATATATCAATTTTCATGGTTTCTTTTTCTTCATTTAATCGTTCTTTATTGATCTATCCAAAAAAAAAAAAAAACGAAAAGTACAAATAAATTATGTATTAAAAATAAATCAACAAAATTTACTAATGGTAACGTCAGTTTTTCATCAGTAAATGACATAGATCTTGATGATTTTCCATTATAAATCTGAACTTTAAGATCGTCATATTCTAATGATTCACTTGATGATGTATCATTTATTGTTGAAGTACTACTTTTATGATATGACCCATTCGAATAAAAATGACGATAATCATTACGATATTCTTCTGTTTTTTTCGATTTTTCACTTAGTATTTCTTGATATTCTATAAGAAAAAAACATATATATATATATTCGGCATATTCAGTTATCGGTCAACTATACATGAGGAGGATTCAAACTTAAAAGTAAAGTAAGCTGAGTTTACCATTGACAAGAGAACCCATGCTTTTATATTGAGCAGTATTTAGTCTTCTGGACATGTGAAATCTTTCTTAGAATTGACAATTCAACAATTAGTGTAAAAGATAGTAGTGAAATACATCGTCTAACAAGAATCGATCAGATAAAAAAAAAAAGCTTTTTCAACATATGACCTTTATACAAATGCTAAATGTCTATGAACCAGGATAATGCATTCAAAAATCATCTCTTTTGTTGATGAAATTCCGTAATGAATATTATCTTTAGTTTGTTATTCGATGCTGTAATGCTTGTTACGAAATGACCTAATATTCTGAAAGCTTGTTAAAAACTCTACAAATTTCATATAGAAAGTTTATTTTGAATGGCTCAACTCTAACTAAAGAAAAAAATCAATAAAATTTTTATTGATAGTAAATGTAAATGTTCTTTATCTATAATAAAAGTTTTAAAGAGTTTACTTTTGTCATTGATGAAAGATAGTTGTAATAATGTAAGATAAAAAGAAAACAATACAATTTCATAATATTTGGCCACACCATATGTCAAATCAATCAACGAAAAAAATAATACTAATCTTTACTTACCTCGTATAGCATCATCAGTATTGTTTGTCTTAACAATAACAATTGTTTGTGTCATAGCACGTCCATAAACATTTTCAACATAGAATGTATATAAACCTTGTAATTTTGAAGTAATCGATTCAATAATTAAGATAGATGAACAATCTGCATTAACTACAAATCCATGTTCTATTGGTCGTGGTGTCTTATCATTTAAATATTGTACTTGCCAAGTACAATGACATTCATCTGATGGAGATATATATTCAATTAAAAAATGTAATTGTTCACCAGAATAGTATTGATATGAAGGTTGAAGTAATCGAGTTATTGTCGGTGGTACAAAACGCTTAAGAGATGTTGCTAATGACCATGTATTATTAGTAGTTAATTCTCTTTGAGTTGTCTGAATAGATTGTTCTTCAATTTCGGTTGTTATGTCTAAAATGTAAATATATTTCCAAAAATGACAACAAGTTCGTTAATCAACATTTTTTTAATATTTCAATCAAAATTTTACTTTTAGAAAAGCAAAATAGTACATATTGTTCATGTAGTTTTTTTTTTTTTTTTTGTTTTTCTTGTTATGATAAAAACAAAATATGTATATTATGTTGAATACTGATATTAATCTCAATCTTCAAATAACTTATAATTAAGTGTGAGAATTTTGATAGATAAGTGTTAATGATCGATCACATCAACAATAGATAAGTAAAAATAAATGATTTATTTTGAAAATTCAATTTCTTTAACTTACTATTAACAAAAAGATAAGCACTTGATTCATCATGTAATGTTCCATTATCATAACTAATATATATTGTATAAACTTTTTCATCTTGTTGTTGACATTTTTGTATAACCATCCAATAACGATTTTCTTCTGGTGTAGAACCAAATTGATATTTAAAATTATTATCATTTTTAATACATATATCATTTAAACGCCATTCAATATTTAATAATGATCGATCAATTATTTTACATGATGATACAGATATTAAACGTATTTTAGCTTCAAATCGAGCTGAATCACCACTATGTACTGTTATAGATTTAAGTTCTTGTTCAAAACCAATTTGTATTGAATCATTTCGTTTATATTCATCTTGTTCATCAATATGAGTAAATTTTAATAGAAAATCTTTATCAATTGTCATGTTTCCATTGAAAAAGGCATTCAATGACAACGAAGTCTATTGATAAAAATAGAGAATAGTAACGAATATCTTTCACTATTACATATATAAGATGAATGACAAGAGAATGTTGTATTTAGTTGATCATTGGTCAGCAGCTGTAGAAATGATGTAATCATAGAGAAGAGAAAAGAATAACGGATATCAACAATATTCTGAAACATCATCGGTTAGTAAAGCACAAAAGATACTATCCTTTTTTCTCATTATTGTCCATTTAGACTCGTCCTTTCTGTACTCTTACAGTTATTACAGATAGAGGAATAGAAGAAGAAAAAAAGAAGAATGACCGATATGCCCCTATTTTATATATAGTAACAAAACAAAAGGATAACTATTCTTATGAACTCATCTTGTTGATAGACATTGATGGACAATGTGTGACAGAAGAATATTGATAAGGAATTTTTAATCAGTGAGTATATTCAGTAGGAACAATAATGTAGTGAAAGAAATAATACTGATAGATATTTTATTCAATTGAGAATAGAAATCAAAATCTTCTAATAAATATTTCAGTTTATGTAAACAATTATCATTATTCTTAAAATAATAAATAAATTGATATCGACATTATTAGATTCCTAGACAAAAGGATATTATTATGTAATGCTTTTTTTTTTTAGACAAAACAAGATTAACATTATTCTTTTATGGTATTTTGTGAAAATTCCATTGTGCAACTTGTATTTCTGGTTTTTTTTTTTTATTTACCATAATACTCTTTCTTTTATGATGATGATTATCAATGACAGATGCACATTTACATGAACATTATGAAGATATCATTCTTAAAAAAGAAAAATTGAAGTTCATTTTACAAATGATTAACTTATTTATTTCATTGGCACTAGTTGATATATTTTTCTGATTGTGTTCATTGCTTTTCTTTTTTCATATCTGCAGACACCTCTTATCAACTAAATGGACATGATGTATAATTAATTTACATTGGACGGTTAATGAATCGTAATAGCACTGTTTATTCATTGATTGGTAATTGCTGTTCATTTTTTTTTCTACTTAGGAACACTATGTACTTGATGTCTATAAACGACATATATTAATTGAACTGTATTACAATTGTAATAGACTATTGGAATTGATAAGAATGTTCGAAAAAATAAATAAAAATGTTCAGTTATATATACTTGTTGTATTTATCATGATGTAACAAAATATTAGTAAATTGTTAATATGAGAAAAGACAAGATTGAATAATCGATGGAAGAAGTAAAAATAAATGAAAACTTGATACTAATTCATCAATGATAGAGAATGACAAGTTATATAATAAAACGTTGTGAAAATTCATTGCCGAATTCATCTATTATTTACATTGATAATTTGAAAACTTTTTCTATTGATTTGAATTAGAACGAATGTATTTATCTTGTTTCAATATCGACCAGAAGATGTATGTTGGTTGTTTCGATTTATTAATTAGCTGTTAGACATAAAATAAGCTCGTTTATATATCCTCATGGAATTATCTCATCGTGGTAGAATCATTTTGTTGTTATTGTTATTCTTTCTATGTATGTTATAACATTTTATATTCTCCAATATAATATAGATCATGTCCTGATATATATCAGAATGTCGTAGCATATTTTCAGCACGATCGTGAGTGTTAATAAGAAACGAAAGAAAAGAAAAACAGTCTAAAGTACCAGGTGACCGTTTATGTTATAACGTATCGTTAGTCAAACATTAGATCGTTGATAGATATCAGAATAAGAGCAATACAAAACTAAATATACCAGAACTCAATGTCTGTTATCGTTTTGCCAACTATTTCTGTGTCATTAACAGTCTCGAATATATATTTATAATAACATTTAGAGAATAAATATATTCTTCTAGAAACTTTTATTTTGGATTTTTGTTAAAAAGAATTTTCAAAAAAAAAGATGTATGAAAATAAGTGAAAAAATAAAAAATAAAAAAACATTATTGTTATTCATTTAAATATTTTATGTTTTACAACTAGCAGCCATTAATTGTTTAACACCTAAATATATAGAAACATATCAAAGAACTTCTTTCAAAGTATATAGAAAATTGTTTTTACCACCAGGTATGACATGTCCAGTCATATAAAGTACTGGAATTTTAGTCCAATATTTATCATCTAAATAAAACAAATTTAAATACGAAGGACAAAAAAAAATCTTTTGTAATTAAGTTTACAATTATCAATTTTTAATTTAATTTCTAATGTTTCAACAACATTATCTATACTTGTTGCTTCACAATAGTATGAACCTTCATCACATTTAAATACAGAACGTAAATAAAGTATACATCGACCTGTTGTTGGTTCATATTGATGCCATATACGGACACCTCTTGTATCAACAGGTTCACCTTTAGCATACCATGCAATAGATTTAATTCGTTGATGACGAACATAACATTCAAGAAATAAATTATCACCTGAACGACATTTATAAATTTCCGACGTACGATTTAAAAAAAGTCGTTCACTATTAGAATTCGATTTTATCATAATGCAAGAAAAGATTTACGTAAAAATGGACGATCAAATCTGGTTGATTTAATACTGCTCGTATGTGTGCGTATGGTAAGATTAGGAAGCAAAAACAAGTGTGAATGGAATCATTCTCACAATAATAATAATACTAGCAACAACAACAACAAATAGTAGGAAGGATTGCTGTGTAGGAAGAAGGTCACACAACGATAAAGGTTTTCTTCTCTGCAGCCATAATCACTTCTTTCCTATCGTAATCACGTCTATTCATAAAATAATTAGTAGACTAAGAACTAGCTAACAGAAAATGAATGAACCATGCCTGCCTACATATTATCTATATCATTCAAGCATTCAATGATTAATTAAGTCGAAATGTAAGTATGTCCTTGGAATCGATGTTAATCCGGATTTTATTTTTCTATTTTTTTTTTTTTATCTCTGGTCTATTCTAGGAAAAAATAGAGTATCAATTTTCTATATTCGTTTGTATGACATCTCGACTGTTATCGCCAAATGTTAAACGGCAGGTGGATTTATTGCTCGTGGGAATATATTAGATAGATCGATTGATTGTACCCAATATCTATATGCGCAAAAACTTTGCTGATAATATGACGAATGACGCATTCCTTCATCATTTTTTATCCATAATACAACATTAATCTCTTTGTTTTTCTTGCAAAATACACAAATATATTGCTAGAAATATCAATAAACATAAGCAACGTTTCCTTAAAAACAACATTCATGATTAAACTAGTATATGGAAAACAATGACTAGATAGAATAATACCGGTATATATATATATATATATATATAGCAATTGTAAATTATCTTTATTATTAACGATAGAATTTTGTTCAGTTTCTCGTTTAATCTTTCATAATGTTATTATTATAAAAGATAACATCAAATATAATTATTGTGAAAAAAAAAAAACAAAGTTTAAGAAATATTTGCAAAACTAATTTGACTAACACAAAAAGAGAACTAACTAACTTATAGCAAAATGCACATCAAATGAAACGTGAGCTTTGGTTAAATAAATATGTCAACTGTAAAGAAGGTTATATTTGTTCTAAATATAAGTTTTATTAAGAATCGAATATCTTTTTTATTTCACTAATAAATCACAAAAGAGAATCGTACAAATCAAACATCTTATCACTCTTTTAAAACTATCACATAAATCAACATTTACATATGAATATTCCCCTATCATCACGTCATCTATTGAATAAGATCATTAGATAAAACATCATTTTAATAATATCAAGTGTTGATAATAGTTATCAACAAGCTCGTTATTTTTAGACTATTTTTTATTCTTTTAAATTCATTGATTTTTAGTAATTTACTCATTCACTTGTATAAATCTAAAATGAGATCTTCTTGTTTCTTTGTTCTTTCTTGTCGTTCTATAAGAAAGAAACATTAACAAATACCAAAATAGATCGAAAGATTACAAATATTTATCTGAATCAACATACATAGAAAAAAAGACATGTTCTGTAACATGTTTTCCTGTAATTATAAATCTGCCCTTTTTGCAAATCAGAACAAACAATAAATAAGTAAACATGTATACATTTCCTCTTGTCATTGTGAAGTGTAAAAATAACTGTTGAATGTAACATATTTTTTAATTCTTTTTGATTACTTGTAAAATCTTTAATAGTAGAAAAATAAAGAAGGAACAAGTTAACATCGTTCCACGCGGAATTTCCGGAATTTCTCGAATTGTCGGATCTGTTTCCGTTTTTCTTTTCTAATGAGGATTCATATACAATTTAAAAGCTTACATTTGACCTTGAATAGTATGATATTCTATTCTAAAAATATCTTTCTATTTAAAAAGAAAAATTCTTTTGGAATAAAATGGTATTTCTTTTTTTGTCACCAATCTTCACACACACACACACACACACATATATAGGCACGCACAAACAAGTGCACAGAGAAGAAAAAAAGAAAACGACATAGATACAATAAGAGAAAAAAATGAGTACAATTGCAATTGTATGGAAAGAAATAAAAGTTGAGTGACAAATAACAATAATAATTAAAAAAAAAGAAAAGAAAAAAAGCGTTTAAGACTGTAAGTTATGATAAAATATCAACTTCAATGTCTTCGTCACATTTTGTCAATTCAAGTACTTGATGATGTTGGGCATTAAATAAACCCGAACGATGTTCTTTAGCTGCCTGTCGTTGTTCTTTACGTTGTCGTAATTTTAATGCTTTTTCAATACGCTGATTTAATGGATCACTTTTATTTGATGATAATGATGAATAACCATCACTTTCATCATTCATTGAGCCACTATTACCAATTAAATTAAATTTAATTATATTTTTAATCCTTCTATGTTTATCATCATTCATACCAGAAAAATCTAATATAAATTCTGTTTGATATGGTAATAATTGTGGCCCATCAGGTTGTAATATTCGTATGAT